TTTCACAATACCAGTAACAAGCCTTGGCTTAGGAAAACTTGACTCCTGCCTACACTCAAGCGAGCTCCTTCTAGTTTCTGAATAAACCCTTTTCCCTACAAATGCACTCAGAGCAGTCTCAAGCATAATTATTGCTTCGGTTGCATTCATGAGGCCATTTTAACAAGATTACATTAAAAGTTATTTGAACATTTTTTTGGCAGAAAGGGAGATACAAGGTCAATTCCTTGCTTTCTTCTCCTCTCAGACCTTTGTTCTCTATTAGCATCTCTTAAATAGACACACTTCATTTTTGATTGCCTGAATTTGTATGGATCTGAAGCTATTTTATTGACATATAAAAGATGTTTCTTCTTTTATAGCCTCCATATGTAAAGGAAACCTGGAGAGTCCTAGGTTTTGAAAGTCATCGAGGTGAAAGCACCATTCTTCATGCATATTGGAGAGCTGCGTTTTAACTTCAAGAAGGTGCTTTATACAGGGTTCTTGTACCCTCCAAGCAGCTCAGCTGAACACTGCTGTTGCGAGCAACATCTGAACTGATGATCACCTCTGTTCAGGTCACTGAAAATTTTCACTGCAGAAATAAGACAAATACTTAGGTCTTTGGGCTTTGCAACAAAGGAAATAGAATTTTATGCTTGTCTGCGCACAAGTTGCTTTTGTAGTTAGGAATAAGCTCTGAAGGGAAGCGCAGACGATGGGAGTACTGGTTGACGGTTGTGCTGCCCATCAGAGGGACCTCAACAGGCTGGAGAAAAGGGCAAACAGCAGTCTCGTGAAGTTCAGCAAGGGGAACTACAAAGCCCTGGGGATGAACAACCCCAGGTACCTGCACAGGCTGGGGGCTGACCAGCTGGAAAGCAGCTTTGCAGGAAAGGTCCTGGGGTCCTGGTGTGAATAACATCTACATTCTTGCTTTTTTACCACTGTTTGCATCATGCAGCAAGAGAACGTAAGGTTCATGTACTTCCTGATTCTCCGGTCAAAACCCCACGTGCAGGGTCAAGGATGCTCTAAACGACTCCCAGTTTAACTGGAGCGATGCTCACCTTTTCCTCAGCCTGCTTCCCTTCTCTGGCTGGGAGGCACCCAGGAGCCTGCCTTCTGCTTTCCTTCACCTCCTTCCCACCACCATGGGAAAATGGTAATTCTTTAGAAGAGACCGCTAGTAATCTGCATCTAAAGCAAATAAAAACCCCTCACTGACTTTGTGGAAATGCTGAGTCCCAGCAGGTCAGTTTGTAATCGTATTTACACTGGAGTGGTTCCATTAGCCTCTGGGAAGCTAATCCTGATTTACAATTATGAAAATCAGATAGAAATCTAGAGCCAAGCTCATATTTTATTTTAAGAGTTGCTGTTACCAGAGTCTGAAAACAACCACCAGACTGCTCCTATTAAATCAAAGTAAGCTGTCAACGACTTACACCATTTCAGTTAAATACAGATACGCAAAGAGTATTGAAATGGGAACAGGCATTTGAAATAATATTTCCAATTATTAAGCAAGAATTCATGGGATTTTTTATTTCAGCATTGGGGAACACATCCTAATTCAAAGCGATGATTAAAAAAAAAAGTCCAGGAATACTTAGCTCAGCCTGAGAAATGCAGCACTGCGAAGGGCTGCTCTCCAATGCCCGCTGCTGTTATATCTGAACATTTGGTCTCCACCAACTAGCACCCTGGCACTGGCACCAACTGCTGATCATTTTTAAGGAAAAGGGAAATGCTAGATTTTATCATTCATCACAAGAAAAAAAAAATACAGGGAGGAATCGGGGAGAAAATTATTATTATGGAAATAGCATTTTAGACAGAGTTTGTAACACATTTGTCATATTGCAGACACAAAGTTATAAATATTAATATAACATCCATTGGGAAAAGACCAGGACAACTCTAGACGCACAGTTACTGAAAATTTTCAGTGTTATGCAAGACATCTCCTAGCACACAGAGAAATTATTTGACTGTGCTTCTTTCATGAAGAGATGTGCGAGGAGGTGTTCCCAGAGGACAGAAATGTTCACTGCCGGCGGAGGCAACGGCTCCTGAAACAGCGGGAGAAGAGCAGTGGTCAAAAGGTTTTTCAAAAGAATTAAATTGTCAATGACAGATTCAATTTCATTCAAATGGGAATCTTTTGGAAAGGTGCTGGATTTCTTAGAGAGGCTCCGATTTTGTCCTTGGAATTCATTTATAAAAATTTCCACCTGAAAATTAATTTTCCACAAGGCCTCAATGCAAAACTGGACTGTATCAGCATCTGGATTAGCATATGAAAGGAGTATCCAGAAAGGTGTGACCTTTCTGTGGAAATCAATTAGTTTTTCACTTTTCTGGGTTTTTTTTTTTCAATTTATTCTGCGCACTGTATACTTCTTCTGTCTGTGCCCTTCATTTCTTCTGTGGCTTTGGGGAACTCACCGGCAACCTTTGGTTCCTGCACACGTTATCTGTCATGTTATGAGGACTAAGTGCTTGTGGAAAAGTCAGTCAGAACACTTCCATCCTTCAATGAACTTATTTTCAAAAAAAAGGCCAAATTAACAGATTTGTAGATATAAAGTAAGATCAACACAATGTTGCATACGTGCTTACCTGGAAGCATTGCGTGCCATTCAACACAGCAGTTTCCTCACAGAAGGAAAGTAAAGGCATTTGCTTTCCGATGACTTCACTAAACAAAGCACCGTATCTTGTCAAAAGTCTTCAGATCTTTGTATTAGGGCACAGAGATAGTCTCCCATTATAAAAGTGAAAGGCTGCGTCAGAGCAGCGCAGGGAGTGAGCATCGAGTTCAGAAGATCCTCCAGAGAACACTTAGCATGAATGTGTTAATTGTAGGAAATACTGATCTAAGTAGCTCAGCCAACCTCAGCTGCTGAAATGGGGGAGCCAGCCTCTCACCGGCAGGCCAGGACACAGGTGGCATTAGTTAGACCATCTCATTCATGGCCCAGGTGACCTGTTTTCTGTGATTGGAGCATTTCCTAAAGCAGCTTGTTGCTGCTTGAGGCTTTTAATGATGACTCTCTGTCCCCAAATAACACTGCAGGTTTTCAGGAGCAGGAAGGGAGATAAAATGTCTTTAGGAAAGTCACAGAGCTCTCACAGGGTGAGATGCATCTTCTACTTTGCGCCCTACCGAGTGGCTTCTGTCAGCAAGAATTAGTCACGCATTTTTACCTTTCTGCTACGAGTGACTTGCAGTCTTTTGTCTTAGCATGCACTACTACGTGGTGATCTGCCTGAAGGATGTTTTAAACACTGAAGAGTAAAACTACCCCACGGGAGCTATCTCTCGGGTTAGGCAGATGGTGCCAATATCACTTTGCACATCACACCATGCTTGTTCCAATATTTCTGAATACCTCCACGAGCCTACTAGCACAACTCCATTCGATACAGGACTGCTCATGGCTGCAGCCTGTATTTTCACATCAGGCCCATCACCTGGGGCAGCTGTAGACCCATAATCAGGGCTGCAGAACACAGCCAATATTTACCCATCTCTCACGTTAACGTCTTGAATAAGTTAAAGCCCACAGCCAAATTGCTAAAAAGACACTAGGGGTAGGTTACAGAGAAGAGAATGGGTTACCTTTTTCTCCATTTACCCCACCTTAAGGAAACTGTCTCAGCTTCCACTTTGACACTGAAGAGCTTAAAATTAACAGCAGAGAACGACATTTTCCAGGGGGATCCCAGAGCCCCTGGCCTACAAGTATTGATGTGAATGCTCTAAGTACCAACAACACAGCAGAATCAAGAACTACCCTCCCAGCACACCACCCCAGTTGCCCCTTCCCCACTTCTGCCTGCTCCTCAGCCTCCATTTATTTTTTAATAAGTTAATTCAGACAGTTTCACCTTAAGTTTCTTTTCTCCTGTAGAGGCCCAGGGCCAGGATGCAAGTCTGAAGGAGTACACTTTCTTTTTTTTTTTTGAGGACACTTTCATATTGACATGGGCAGATGACAAGAAAACCCAGGGCAGAATGGGAGTGGCAATGGGATGGTTACAATTCCCAACACTATGGGGTAGGTGAACTAATTTCCCCTCCTTTTCCTGTGCTATTATGCCCTGCTACACAGATATTTTGATTTTTTTTTTTTTTAAAAAAAATCTTCTTCTGGAAAATCTTTTTTTTTTTTTTTTTTAAATGTTTATTCACTTCAGCACACATGAAAATATGGCAGGGAAAACTTTTAATTATGTAATCCATATACAAAAATTTAAAGTTTAATTAGCATTGACTATTTAATTATGGATTATAATAACTACTACTCCTATTTAGAAAAGTCAAAATAAATAAAAACCCAACAAACCTACAGCAGCATATATCAGAGTCTGTGCTGTATATGGTCTGCCCAATAAGTTGTTGCAGCATGCTAGGAGGATTTCTGCTGAGGAATTAATACATACATCTGTAGCAGATATAAATTCACTCTTAAAACTCCACTTGTTTTACAGTTTTTCTTTGTTTTATATAATTATTGGTTATGCTGTCATTTTTCCTTCCTTAATGTCTGAACTTCCGTTTGCTTTTAAGATGTAAGAATTGCTAGTTACTGCAGTTGCAGTCAAATTTTTTTTTTATGTAACTAGAACTGATTTTAATGCTATTTTCCCAAAACAATTTCTCTGCTCCAGATGGTCCTCATTCACCTGCAATACTCCCCTGCGCATCCTTCCACTGCAAAGTAAGCTCCTTGCCAGCCAGGGCCCCCCATGCAACAACACTTCTCAAACACCCGTAAAATTTTACTGTTCCTTGGTGCTGCCGTTCCCTCCCAGGGGGCTGTATCACAGCCCATCAGCTTTACAGTAAAAGAAGAACGTGAACAAGACACCGTCAGAGCTATTTAAGCATATTCATCAGATTATTCGGTGTTGCACAGAGTTGATAAATATAAGTGTATAACCTTCCACCCTATGATACTTAAGATGAAAATGAGGCCCAGTGGTTGTGGTTTTTTGTTGTTTGGGGGTTTTTTTAAATATATTATTTGTATTCTAGCTAACAAAGCAGATTGTAAAGCTTAGAAAACTTGGTCTTCAGAGGTTAATTTACAAAGATACAAATACGTTTGTTTTGGATAAAAAGTTTCCTTTGGCAAACTTGCTTCCCAGAACAAGATGGACTTTGATAAACTAAAGCACGTCCAGTGGAAAGTCCCAGGAAGACTACAGGGCCGCAGCACACGGCATGCAAGAAGATGTCAAGGAAAGTGTTCAGTCTCAAGAAGCCAAACAGGAAAAATCTTCTTGTTGTCCACAACTATCTAATGTGAAAGTACAAGAGAAGATGGAGACATTATTCTTGAAGTCGCACAGAGAAAGGACAAGAGGCAACAGACACAAGCTTCACCTGGGAAATTCCAATTGTATATTACAAAAAAATTTGCAATCACAGTAGTCAAACATTGGAATAGGGCCCAGAGAGGTGAAGGATTTCCATCCTTGAACAAGGCCCAAAACCACTCCTGCCTTGAGCAGTGGAGCTGGACTAAGTAACCTCTCCAGAGGTCCCTTCCAACCTGTTTTCTGTGATGAAATACAAAACCTTGCTGTAAGGACCCACTGGAAGTAAGGTATTTTTAATTATAATAACCAAAATATATACACAATAATGTGTATTTTACATATACCAGGGGAAAAAAAAAAACATACTGCATTTCAAAATTCATTTACTGCAATTAACAGAGGCAATTAGTCAGTAGTAAGGTTAAGTCACTAATATTAAGAAAAGCCACAATTTGCATGTAAGTTGAAGCCAGAGGAAAGCTACAGAAGCTCAGTATTCAGAGACATGAATTCAAAGGATTTCATACTACCCGACTCATCTCAACTTCATTACAGGAAAATGGAGTTTGGATTGCAGGTCCGGACCTAGATTATTATCTAGCACCCATAAGCTTCAGATTCCTCTATTTACATTAACTGGTTTGAGATATTAAACTGCAAGGTCAAGGTAAGTATTTTAGTTCTCACAACTGCAGCCTAGTTTCACTAAAATTACCTTAATTACCAGACCAAATTGTTATTTTAAATTGTTCTTCATTTCAGGAGATGTGAACACTGAACTAGCTGTAACAAACCTCTAACAGTTTCAAAGTCAAAGGTTCATTTTTACTTAAAAAAAACCCACAATAAAACTCTTAACAGAGGCTTAAAAAGGTCTTTATAAAATAATTTCCATCACACTTACAATAGTAAGAAAATTATTCTGGTTGCTAGTTTTTAGTAAATATGAATTGTTTTGTGTAATCTGTATTAAAGATGGTTATAACTACAGTTCACATTTTATTTTGAAAAGGTGGACCAAGAAACGTGTCAAGAAAAGCAGATTACTGCTGTTTCTCAACAAGTCCTTTTTAATAAGGACATGCTGCCTTGATAGGCAAAGCATGTTTGACAGCCAGCTAAGACAGGATAGCTGAAGGAGAGAAGTAATGATTTGCATGCCAAAAAAAAAACTTCTTCAGCGATCACTTTGTACTTGGCAACTGTACAATTAAACTGCTTTTAAGATCAAAATTGTGTCATTCCATCCATCTCTTGAATGACAGTGCTGATCATCTCAAAATTTAAGTTTGCTTGAAGTGACACAAGAAGGTAGAGTCTGAGCAAGTTCTGGACTAGCAGGAAAAAAGTCTGATGCTTATCTTGTCATCTGTAACTATGAAAATACTAGATGTTCTTCAAAGTGTTTTTCACCAGGTCTGTCGGAGCAACAGGTATGGCTGTGCAGAGAAAACAGAACATGTACATATGGGAAATATGAAATATATCAAGTTCTCTATTCTTGCAGTAGTACTAATAAAACGAAATATGCCAACATTCAATTTCAAGAGGACTCAAAAAGATCTAAAAATCCATACACATTTTTTATCAATTTTTTAATACAATAAGCTCCTGAAATATACTTTTTGTGGACACAAATTGGCAATTACAATTACAAACAAAAAGAGCTCACAACAACTTCGCATAGGATGTCATTCACTATACATTTTAATTAGCTACTAGATTCTTTAACTTATGGTAAGAAATTATCCTACTCTAAATAGAGATGGAAATAAAGATGTGGTAGTTTATACAGCCGAGCTTTAATATGCTGGTGCATTCTCCTCCCTCACCAGGGCCCTCTAAAAAGAGCTGTAAAAATAAGAATAATATATAGAGTGTATAGTAACTTAAACAAATCTTCTAACCAACACAGTGAAAGATACTCCTGTGAATCTAATAAAAAGAATTAGATGCTAGTGGTGGCTATGCTTTAGTAAAGGACAAAATTCTCATTTGCAAGAGTCATTTAAAAACATCTTAGTGTTTTCAGTTTCCTTTCAACCAAGATACCAAAATAGATACAGGAAATGGAATTTCCAATTTATGTGTTAAAGTTGTCCCAAGCACTTCTTTACATTGTTTACATGAAACCCTGCATTATTGTTTCACAAAGAACAGCTTCAAGATGATCTAGAAGAGCTAAATCAAGTCACTCATACAAAATAAAAGTAGAACTCGAGAGGTTTTAATACCATTTGTACTATTTTATCAGTGATTAGAAGCAAAGAGATCGGTCGCTACTCGTCAATTTTAAGTGCAATGAATTCTTCTCATATGTAATTTTAGCTAAGATAGTTAACGCTACTGACTGACTTAGTTAAGAGTAAGTTACCAGTAGATGTCAAGAAAAACCTCCCAAGACAGAACACTACAGAAACGTACTATGCAGCAGATGCTGTGCATCAATGCTCCCCTTTTTGCTTTCAAAATTCATCCTCTGTATGATGAAGCACAGTGGCCACCTTAGTCCCTCTTCTGCTTTTAAGAACACCGTTTGGCCAGCTCCCTCCATCTTGCCAAAAGAAAACAATCAGCTAATTCAGACCAGAGATAAAACCGAACATCCAGCTCCTCCCTTAGCTTGCCTCTGCTAAATTTTTATCTGCTCCAAAACTACCACAGTCCCCAAGAAGTTAAAGGGATCTGCACTGGCCAACAGCACCATAAAGATCAACATCCCTGAGAAGAGGCAAGCAGGCTAGTAGATCCTGTCTATTTCCCTCTGCTGACAGCAGACACCATGAAATTAAACTGGACAGCAAGAGGTAGCTCTGCACATCAAAACAGGGAAGTGGTGAGGTCTCAGCATTCAAATCAATTAACATGAAAAGTATGAAGAGGGATCCCAGAGCCACCTTTGCCATTTACTCTTTCCCTTGAGCAGCCCACAAATAGAGAGGCTGTTTCTTCAGATAATCTACTTTTAGATAGGTAAATGGATGTTGCTGTCATAGGCACAGCGGGATAATCCATTACCTTCACACTGCCACCCTTCACATTTGAAGCTCTTAAAAGAAAAGAAAAAAAAGTAAAAGAAAAAACCCACATGCCAACCCTACCTGACTACTGTCTAACACTGGGGGAGAATTCTTCTTTCCCCTACTGCAAGACTTATGCAATAATATTTTACACAGTGTATGTAGAGACATTTCTTCTCATGGAAAAGAGATCCTGGTCTTGTAGTGTGCAGCTTTCCCAAGATACCACTTGTCATTAAGTGCATCCCAGTGGGCCCTAACTGTCCTCCCATTTAAGCCTCTGGGATCTGAATCCTAGTCTCAAATACTGTTAGTCTCAAAGCAAGTGCTGAGAGAAGTTCTGAGCAATTCCTAATGGTATTACAATCACACAGACTTCCTCGACTGTGCTTTGTTGCATGACCCCCTGCCAAACCATCCTCCGACTGTGCAGTTCTCAATGAAAAATACAATTATCCCAGCATCTGCTGAAGCTAAGCAACAAACCCACTTTTAGCTTTGTGGTGATAAACTGTCACATCCCATCCCCCTCAATGAGACTAAGAATTATTTCTGTAGCAATAAGCTTCATTTGATCTCACCCTAAGTGGTCATAAAGAAATAAAAGCAGAGAAAAAATTCTGCAACTATGACTTGAGACTCTGCATAAGCCATTGTGATAACTGATACACCACTGTCAGATCTGTGCAGCCAAACAGTGCCTTCTTCCTATTATTTGGCCATGCTTTAAAAAATGCATTTGATCAGCTATGACATTTCATTTTTTAAAAAGATGCTATCAACTGACCATCAGAAGCATTCTGTTACAAAAGACTACTAAAACTGCATGGTAGTAGTTAAAGATATCTAGAATATTCCTCTGAAATGTCAAGTATTTCTTTTCATACTAGGTATTATGTACCTTGACATTATCAGTTCTTCCGAAAATTGGAGAAATACGTCAGAAACTATCTTGCTGTATGATTCCAAAAAGGCAAGGTGCATATTTCTTCCTCCTTGCCTCTCAAAAGAGAATATAGCCTTTTCTACAACATCCAGTGATGCAAACTGGTGCAATACAGATCCTCAGTTAGGACACACACATCTTAAAATAAAAATACCTGCAAGTATATTTCAGGTCTAAGATACTCAATTATATTGTGTATTTAATTTCTTTTCAAAGTGAACCAACTTCCATGCTATATTGTTCCACTTGTTCTACTGAAATTCTTAAGCTATACAAAGATAATAAAATACTAGCATATATAGATGTCTCATTCAGTAATTTATTACTATCAATGTTTAACACCTTCTTAGGAGAGAAGCAACTTCTTCCCTGGCATACATGTGCACAGTTGGTCAACCAATACTACAATACGCACATTACAACACTGGAACACTGTTGGTGTTATTTAACCTACTGCACTGTAAATGAAGTTGCATCATATCCAATAACACCAAGTTTTCCTACACTTGAACATTCACTGAACAACTGAAACATGATAAAGAGAGATTGTATTTTTTAACATATTTGTACTGGCAATTATTATCCCATACCAAAAACTCTAACATCAGATATCTTTTGGGAATGAAGCGGGGGAAGAACTTGAAGACTTCCCCTGCATTTAAGTCTAGAAATTGTTTTTGCAATCAAAATGACACTTTGTGGCTGCCTGCTTCATAATTTAAACTTCAGAGGAAAAAGGGAAGGTAAAGACATCTAAGTTGCAGCTGAACTGAATATGAGTACATAAGTTATACTAGAACTTACAAATTCATGTTTCTATACATCAATGCTGTGACTGCTCAGGATTGATATTCATAGTCCTGTATATTTCTTTGAGAAACAGCAAGGCAGTGTCTTCAGATCCCCTATGAAGAATTTAAAAAAAAAAAAACAAACAAAAAAAAAGTGTTATTTTGGTATGGTCCATGTTCTAATTCTTGTAAGCCACACTTCATCCCATTCCAGCTCTCTAAAAAGTTTGCACAACCTATTGCCCTAGTCCTTATCTTTCAGGAACATGGCCTTACCACTACCAACTTCTTTTGAGCTACAATTCTTCATCAGTTTTGGATCATTTCTGCTATCAGACCTAGCCTATGCATTTACCTTTTTCTACTGCATTTTTCCCCCACTTTGTCCTCCCTAACTTACTATGGCTGCAACTTGAAATCCCCTTCTCTATCCACTTCTTTGATGTTACTCATTTAGCTTAAATCTCCTCAAATAGTCTATCACTTTTTGTCTGCGATGGGCTCCTGAATGTATTCCACCAAGAATACATTCTACTTGTCAAGGCTTTCCTTCCTCTACTTGCTCCACTGCATCTATCAGCCCATTGTCAAAACTTGGCCTTGCCTGTTCTATCAACAATATTCTAATTCTTCTCTCCTAACTGGCTGGCACTTCCTTGTAAATAGACTATATTAAATATCCATAGTCTTCCTCTCTTCCTTACCACTAAAAAGTAAGGAAGTTCTCAAATAATTTAAAGATGAATATAATTTTACAGCCATGTTTCCAAGTCGGTGTTTTCCCTCCCCTTTTCAAAATTAAAGCTTCAGGCTATCTCAATTTAAATTTAACACAGACAGATGTAATTGTCTTATTTGCCTATAAAGTGTTATTTAAACACACATAAACAATACCAATATAAAAGAGTAACAACCACTGTAAAAAATAACAAAGTTAAACAGGCAAATTTTAACAAAGTTCCAAAGCTGCAGGGGTTGTTAGATAGGGTAGCTTCCTGTGCTTTTTAAAAGAAATGACACAGGGAGACAGTAAAAGAGATTTAGATGGTCAGAACTGTGATCGTCCAAATGTGAGGAACATCATTTACAGAGCACCAGGACAGATTTAAATGTGCAAGCTAAGGGACTACAGATATTTTCCACAATTGAGCATAGAGGTATTAACCACGTTTCTTGACGGTCTCCACTATTAAACGAACAAGCAAACAAGCAAGCAGAAGGATCAACATGGAAGCTCTGTTCTCTCTAACATACAGATCATTTCATTTTAGGCTTTCCCCACCACCCCCCTCCAAAAAAAACCAAAACCAAAAAACAAAACAAAAAAAACCCCAACCCTCTCATATTTGGGTCATTAACCATCGTGCTTATCTTCCTTACTTGAATGACAAAAAAAGCTATGGGTAGCAAGTTTTTAAAAACCTGGCAATGATCGGCTGCCGCCTTGTGGAAAAGAGCTCCCCGTTCCTTCAACTGTACCCACGAAACGGCACTGCCACCACTGGGTCACCAACTGCTCGGGGAGCCCTGCAAGAGCACAATGCTCAACAGTGCTGGAACACATCAGCACTGCAGCCTTCATAATCCCTTCTCCAGCAGCTACTGATCTTTAACAATACAAGTGATATCGACTTTAATATGATCCTTCGGGTAATGCTTTCAATTCCGTATTTTAATCTCTGGAAAAATGCCTGCTTCTAAAAATTATTAGCTATTGAAAATCAAAACCTTCAAAAATAGTGTAGAGCGCCGCTTGTCCAGCACCTGCTAACTCAGAACAAGAGACTAGTATTTTGCTTACTGGAAGACAAAAACAGTCACTCCCCCCCCCGGAAGAGCATTTTGCACAGCTCAGCAACTGACATCCCAGCTTGTCTTTTACATATAAAGGTGTGCTGTTGTGTTGCCAAATACAGTTTACACATCCTTTGCTCTATCATTCCACATCTTGTGTATTTTCATGTGTGCTTAATTTTATGACAGTAATAAAATGCATACAATGACATACCAAAAAACCAGAGCCAACTCATAAGGGCAAATACAATAGGTCAATAGTTACTGCTATTCCTATAACTGGAAATATATCTTTCTCCATTGGAAACATGTAAGCACTTAAAAAAAAATCCAAATCCAGATAAGGCAATGGCGTACTGCAGCTCTGACTCCATGATGACACCAAACTCTGCTTCTTGTTCTATAAATTGTTCCGTATATGAGCAACCACTGTACACAAGTGGTAAATCATAACCATCCAAATTTACAGGAAGATCCACTGTGCCTTTTTTCTTCCTTTTATTTGTTAATCTTTGATAGCAGAGCATCAATACCCAGCAATTTCATTCCAACATGAAGAGGTAATAAAGTTTTACTACATATTGTAGTCTAATACAATTCCTTCATGAATAGTTTTATTTGAAAAACTAGTTGTCAAAATGCTCCTGGAGCTCTCTTTGTTCTGAAAATGATTGTAGCTAAAGGTGTCAAAGTTCAAGAGACCAGTATGCAATGTCTTTATTGCAAACAGGACAATAGGTTTACTTTGTGCTAACACAGAATTTTATTTTGAAATGAGATTAGCTAATAGTGACATCTAGGTGTGACACCTTGAGACTGACATTCATGGACAGTCATATATACCGTTTTCCTTAATACTTGAATCGTCTCAATTACATAACACTTGAGCATCCAGAGCATAACAAATTTATCTTTACGGTATGCCTGTGTGGGAAGGCAACATCTTTCCAAACAAGAGGCCATTTCAGAATTAAGTGATGAGGACGTCGTATCCAACTCGACAGTCATCTTTTCCAAACATTTCAAAGATTACAAAGACCCAGAAAACTCAGGTGTCCTAAGTCATATGCATACACATCGACCACTAGAACAACTCCTATTCTGGTAGCTTTATAATTGGTTGGTCCTTTTGCAATGTTTAACTTCTCAAATCAGCAGTCGCCTGAAAAATAGACCTGTGTATATAAACCCAGTTATTTTTGTCAAAACGTACTTGAAGTGAAACACTAGGGCATGATTTTTGACAGAAATCACCTGACTTTTCATTATAAAATGCTCAAGACAGGAAACATGATTCTAGCTATTATCATACTGGTCACAGGTAAGTAACAGACAATAGGAGCAAGATAAATGGTAGGCATGTCATTACCAACATTTAAAGACACACAGTTATATCAGAAAAGCAGTATTTACAGAATCACAAATATTTCTTCTTACCAGTAGCACAAATGACTCTGTAAAGCAAAAAGGTATTCATTGAAGCTTTCTATTGGTTTTTCTTGTAGAACATAATCAATACGACGTCCTCCATTTAGCATTCCAACCTTCACTAAAAAATCTTCATCTTTTGGAGGGTCTGGACTTTCTGTGATCTTTTCAGCTAAAATTAAAGAGTTTAAGATTTAAACTATTTTCAAGCAAAGCTTGCTTGAGTATAATCAAGAAATATCACCCATTTTCCCTGCTACAATTTCCAAGTGCTTGCAATAAGACAATAACAACAGCCTCAACTGACTAGCATGCCACTGCATAATTCAGAAAGGTTACTGGAACTATAGGCTTATTTCTTTCATAACAGTTTAAACAGAGTTTGTTTGAAGAATAGCTCACATAAAGTAGTAGCTGAGCAATTTTAAAAACAAACCCCACTGTTTATACATAGACAGATCCAGTCATTCCACAAGCAAATAACCTGAAATAATATATTTTTACATCCCCCTTGCATAGAGTCAATCACTGTCCTCAATTTAAACTAGGAGGAATGTTTTGTCTTTGTAAGTATACACAAAGCCAGCATTACTAAACATCAACAGATAATTCACAAGTGGGAAGCCTGCCCTTGGTATCATTAGGGGTAATATTTATATCTGACTTAAGTTTATTTTCCTCAGCAGCATTTTTTTCTGTTAAAGCACATACTTAAATGCTTCTTAGCTCATCCCAAAAACTCAGCAGAACACTACTGAAGAGAATAAATCTCACAAATAAATATTTATTTGTACTCATTTGCCCTGAGAAGAAAGAAAACACAACTGATTTAGAAACCTGCCCTTCTAACAGAAAGTTGAAAGGTTATACAAACACAAGCCTAAAATATCCTTCAATAAAAGTTAACTTTTCCGTTCCTAAAAGACAAAAAAATGCAGCAATAGATCCTACACTTAACATTAATACCCCAAATGCACAGAGGCCTCCTTAATAGGGTCAGGAAAATCAATAGCAAACAGTTACTAGGATGCTCAAGTTTCTACTAATTTGAGATCAATAAGTTATAAGAAAACCAACAATGTGTCCACATACCTTCTACCACTTGCTTTTCTTCTTCCTCTTTAATTTGGTTAGCTACTTTCTCCAGTTCCGCTTGTAGCTGAGTTGAAGATGTATGAGCACGTGCAAATTCATTGAGGGTCTGCCATGCGCTCTTCAAAGAGCTAATAAAACCCTGTTTCAGGTCAGATCCCATACGAGAGAGAGAGTCTTTCAACTCTAAAAATCAATCAATCAATCAATCAATCACTCACCATAGTAGAAGGATTTAAAATTATAAACTAAGACTGGAATGATTAAACCCTGTTCAAAAAACATCCCAAGTATTAGGAGAAACAGGCCTGCTATGTCATGAACATGTTTCCTGCTTCTATATTCCATTTAAAAAGATTAGGTGAAATGTAATTAATACACAATTAATTTTTCATTGTATGGGTCAATGAATTAACACCTACTAGCACAGGAAACAGTCCAACAGCCTCCAAGTCCAGAAGGGTCCACAAAAATAGTTACACCAGCCAATCCCTCAACACCACCATCACCCACATTCACCCCTAACATCCTACACTAAAGGAAAATTATTATAGAGAGGCTAGTTTCAAACTCCAGCACAGCAGAAGAGACCAGAAGAGCTACCAATGTCTCTTGCAGTAGTAGTGAATCTGGAGAAGCGCTCCCAGACAACTCTAGCCTGTAATTCTGCTACAGGTCAGTAATTGTGTCACCAGTAACCAAGCTGCCATTCAATACTGGTGGGAAACTCTGAATGAAGGAGAGCTCTTCACAGTAACTGATTAGAACCACATGGGTCTGCTACCTCAGGGGTCATGACTATTCCATGGAACATTCAACTACATCAAAGAAAAACCAGTAAAGAGCAACAGACCATATTTTTCTCCTTTACTATACACACTTTTTGAGAGTTGTAACCTAAAACATTCCTTAACAAGTACCTCGTCTAGTCTAGGAAAGCAGACTCATTCTAACGTACCATTCTAAAGTATGAATGCTGCAGAATTTCTCCATCCAAGTGCCTGAAGACAGGCTTTCAGGAGGGCTTTGTGAACTTGTACAACAGTAATGTTGTCAACTGTACAGCAAAACTGACTTTCCTTATTAGGTATGCAAAATTTAAGTATAGCACCTTGATCTGATGTGTACTCGTGAGCAACAAAATCCAGTCCCTGCCCACCAACGGCTATGGAACCACCTTTTTCCTCAATGTTTCCAATACTGAACAGACACTGGTTAAACACTTCATGGTGGTCATTAGGGACAAGGTAAAAGAAACCAGCAAATTTAGTTTCTGTTTCACATGATCTTAGAAATTAAGGTGAACAAGTGAGGTACAGCAATTTTGAAAAGGAACTTTGTTAATTAGAAGCTCAAATCTGGAGGAATTACGATTACTACATTTGAATGCAGTTGTGAATGCCCAACTTACGGGGCTGGGAGGAATCCCCTCTGACATTTATGAAAAACATGGAGTTAGATATCCAGCAACACTGATTAGTCTCTTGAAATTTTACAATATTCTAATGCATCAAATGAGTAAATTAGGAATGAGATCCATATATGAAATAAGTTTTCTTTTTACCCAAATGAAGTCTTTTTCTGCCTTTATGATGTGGAATAAGAACTGGTTTTAAATCCATGTCTTCAATGATCATTGGTTCTAACCTGTAAGCTACTGGATCAAGCTGTTAAGAAACAACACATCGACATTTAGTTATCTTAGAAATTATTCTAATTGTCACATTTCAGTGAAAAAAAAAAAATCCCTATTTATGATTAATAGAGAACTATTTTTTAATGCTGTTCTACTTCAGTTTACAGAAACTCAGTTCATGGCCATTTAGTTTAATCATAAGATTAAGCAGGTTCATTAACTAATTAGGTCTTGCTCTCCTACAGACAGAGATTCTAAGAGAGGAAACACAACAGTGAAAGAGCAGCAAAACTTCCTTGCACTCTGATGTTCTCTACCAACATGTCACTGTTTAATTGTTAAGTGAGATGGGACAGAAAAGGACAAATGTATGCACTGCAAAACCTCTAAGGATTTCTAAATTTCCCAGAATCTAAACTGGAAACTCAGAAAAGTCCTGTAAATGGCACAAATACAAACACTTTATAAAAATCCACAAGAGTGGCTTGAAATTAATGAAAAAAGAAAACTCGTGAGCAACAAAATCCAGTCCCTGCCCACCAACGGCTATGGAACCACCTTTTTCCTCAATGTTTCCAATACTGAACAGACACTGGTTAAACACTTCATGGTGGTCATTAGGGACAAGGTAAAAGAAACCAGCAAATTTAGTTTCTGTTTCACATGATCTTAGAAATTAAGGTGAACAAGTGAGGTACAGCAATTTTGAAAAGGAACTTTGTTAATTAGAAGCTCAAATCTGGAGGAATTACGATTACTACATTTGAATGCAGTTGTGAATGCCCAACTTACGGGGCTGGGAGGAATCCCCTCTGACATTTATGAAAAACATGGAGTTAGATATCCAGCAACACTGATTAGTCTCTTGAAATTTTACAATATTCTAATGCATCAAATGAGTAAATTAGGAATGAGATCCATATATGAAATAAGTTTTCTTTTTACCCAAATGAAGTCTTTTTCTGCCTTTATGATGTGGAATAAGAACTGGTTTTAAATCCATGTCTTCAATGATCATTGGTTCTAACCTGTAAGCTACTGGATCAAGCTGTTAAGAAACAACACATCGACATTTAGTTATCTTAGAAATTATTCTAATTGTCACATTTCAGTGAAAAAAAAAAAATCCCTATTTATGATTAATAGAGAACTATTTTTTAATGCTGTTCTACTTCAGTTTACAGAAACTCAGTTCATGGCCATTTAGTTTAATCATAAGATTAAGCAGGTTCATTAACTAATTAGGTCTTGCTCTCCTACAGACAGAGATTCTAAGAGAGGAAACACAACAGTGAAAGAGCAGCAAAACTTCCTTGCACTCTGATGTTCTCTACCAACATGTCACTGTTTAATTGTTAAGTGAGATGGGACAGAAAAGGACAAATGTATGCACTGCAAAACCTCTAAGGATTTCTAAATTTCCCAGAATCTAAACTGGAAACTCAGAAAAGTCCTGTAAATGGCACAAATACAAACACTTTATAAAAATCCACAAGAGTGGCTTGAAATTAATGAAAAAAGAAAAAAAAAAAAGTTCTTTAAGCTCTGAAAATGAACAGGGAAAATATTATCAAGCCAACCCATGCCTAGAATGCTAGGTATGGAACCTATAGCCAGCTCTACTTTACTTTTGCAGTAAAAGACCACAAATATTTGGAATATATATTTCACTTGGGTCATTTTTTTTTAAAAGGGCGTATTGGGAAATGTGTGTAGGGGAACAGGAGGTGTAATGCTCAGAGGCTAAAACTTAGTATTCTGCATTGTTGTCATCTGCATCAACTAAAATCAAATCTCGAAAGTACTGCTTACTCACGGGATGATAGATATTGAAGAATCCCTTGCAAGTAGGAAGCCTGTAGTTTTCATCAATCTTCTCCACGCCTCTCACAGTAAGGAACACACCAATAGGAGAACCAAGAGCAAAGAAAATATCTGGTTCAAAGTCCAAGGCACTGTAAACCACAGAAACCTACCAGACAGAAATCAGATACATAATCTCTCAGAACTGCCAGCTAGTTAATATAATGCTTAACTAGGAAGGAAAAACAAGTTGTGTATTAAATCAACCACATGCTCACAGTACTTCAGCTTCAGCTGCATTGCCCTCTTCCATACTAATACTATAGTACTAGTACATTTTAATACTATAATATTGAAATGTTTTTCTTAAAAAAAAGTTCAAAAGTACAAAAAATAAAAAAATAGATTTAAAACAGGAAGTCTTCAAGTTTTGTTTTTTAAGTTAAGTTTGAGGTAAAACTTAAATACAACAGCATAAATGGATCAATTTGGGCTACCATGTTAAATGTAACGCCACAGAACCATTCAATATTATGTCATTCACATAGTTCTGCTTCTGGAACACACCATGTTTACAGCTCACTCACTGCTGAAAGAAAAAAGGGATTGTAGTGACATCCTTGTTATAGTAAGTTTTGCTTTTCAGTAATCTAACCCACTCTCCCAGCCCTCCCTCCCGCCAAACGGTAAAGTTCTACATAAACATAACTTTTGTGCAACAATCAAGGGAAGTAGCACAAAGTCATCAACATTAAAAAAAACAAAACCAAGCAAAAGGACAGTATTGTTCCAAATGAATCATTTCAATCTATGTAGTCTCACCTGGCCAGTTCCAACTTCAAAATACTCATAGTCAATGTTCACAGAAGAAACGGATGCACCAACTGGAAGCTTCCTCTTTGAGTGCAGCTGACCAGACTCTGAAGGGGAGACAGAACTAACCGTCTCTTTTGCTTTCTGGGCATCTTCTTGAGTTTGGAGTGTGGCAGCCAGCACTGCTTTCTTTTCTGCTACTGCTTTCTTTTGTTCCTTTTGAGACAAGTTTCAAAACCAGGAAAAAAAAGTTCATTTCACAGTTGACAAAATTCCTTTAATATATCCATGATGTTAACAAGTGTGCTAAAGAATAGAAGTTACTCCACAGCAAGGAAGTCAGTTACATTTGTTTAACAACTTCTTATTTCATTCCTGAAAAATGTACTTACCTGCTTGGCTGCTCTATCTTTTACAAAATTAGCTATTTTCTTTCTTGGTCCAAGAGGTATCCCCATTTCCTTCAGGTCATCGACTGTACACATCAGCTAAAAAAAAAAACCACACACATCAAAGCATACTTCATAACTTTTCTAGTAACATATATCATTTCTTATTCACAATGACTTATGAATTAGATAAGACATTTTATGAGGCTACAGAAATAAGGAAAAAATTAAAGAGACATGATACAAAGTGCCCCAAAATAATTGGGAAAAAAAACCTCAAGAAAAAAAATTCACATAACGTTTAGTCTTCATGTCAGACATTAATTATCTTACCCCTTTGCAATGCTTTCACGCCTCATGGTACACTAAACTCATTTAAAAAAACAAAACAAAACACAAAAAACCCAAACATAAGCCTCCATACCCTGGCAATCCTCATAAGTCAAATGAACATTATTTTACCAGAGACTCCATGTCAATTCGCTCCTTTTCAAATGTGCTTGCATACTCCGACAAACTAAGCATTTCCAGAGTCTTCTGCAAAGTAAGAACATCATCATCTACTTCAGGCTCACAAAAGTCATCACCAGAAGTAGTAATTGAGGAGCCCAAGGAACTGGTATCTTCAGTCACCTTAAAAACAAAACAAAAAAAAAAACAGCACAGAAACAGAATCACATCATCTAACAGTGAAAAGCCAATATGCAGCAAGTAAATACAAGTTTAATTACTTTCTCTTAAAAACATTATTATGTAAGCTTTGTAAATTTATGCCCATTTTTAGTAAAGCAGGATACAGATTTTCCACTAATAATAGATCAGCAAAATACATATTTAAAAATTACTAAGAGAGGCAAAAGGTTTCTTGAGCTTTCCGACACTCAAAAATATTTCCTTTTAATCATCAAACAACTGGTCACTGTTTCTAGCCTGAACACAGATAGATTCTTTCCCTCTTACGCATCTCTCCCACCATTCAGATACTGTTAAGACCAAGTTACGTGTCCACAAGGGTCAAAGCTGATGTTCATGATCAAATCCCTTTACTGGCTTACTTGGAATTTGAGAGAGATGCAAATAGCTTGTCCTGAGAATTGACGATATTTACAAAACTGCACATTTCCATTAACATGTTAAAATGTACTATCAGAACCCACAACTGTGTTTCAGCTAATAAATTCTGAAAACTTAAGAAAAAGTTGCTGAAAGTATCAGATCTATTTGCCTGGAAAGACTAGCATGCAAGTTACCTGTTTATCATGAACAGCCACGTCTTTTACAGTCCCATTAACACCAGAGAACGGTCCAGTATTTACTGATGAAGCCAAGTCCTTCTGGTTAGACAATATGTCAAATAGAATTAAGGAACCTGGAAGCAGGAATTAAAGTTGCCTTGGGAAAAATGTCCTATTTTCTTGTCCCTAAATCCTAAGCAAGATTTATATGCAATAGTAATAGCAACGTATAGATTGATCAAAAAGGATGGTTGAATTAAAACTAAAATACCCACATATTAACTTGAACACAATCATTCTCAGCAAAGAGCAAACCTTTTTTTTTCCCCCCATTCATGTGAAATAGCTTTATATAGTTGCCATGATTAAACTGTCTTTCCTTAACCATCTTAGATTGCTTGCCAAACTGGAGGAAAAGTACCAGCCCCAACCAGTATGTCATATGTCTTTGTAACACTTACTCTATGCTCCAAAAAATTATCTTACTTTTAGTAAGTGGGGGTTCTGAGACACAGAAGTTACCCACCTAACAAGACACCAGATAACCTGTCAACTTTTAAACACAAATTAGACACTAAGTCTTCATGAAGGAAACTAAGGGGGTGGGGGGGCAAAGGGGGAAATGCATGCATCCATGAAGTACTAACCTTCTCTCAAAGCTTTATAAACTTAGCTATTGAGAGCTGTTTGACTTTTAGTCACCAGTATTCTGAAAGACAGCCATGCCTACCAAGTAATTTTAGCCTTATGCTTAATGAAGGTTCCATTTCCCTTAGTGTAGAAATGCTGGTTTTATCCCAAATCAATTCCTTAGATAATTACCTAAACTGTGCCCAGCCACAGAGACTCCTCCTTTGAAGTCTGGGTTGCGACTCATGAAAAGAGCATACAAACGATTCATTTCCATCCCCACTTTATCCACAATCGTCTGACAGTAGGTGGGGCTGTTGTAGAACAGTATGTCAAGGAGTGTTTCATTGGTGAAGTGGCGCAGGCGTCCAATGCTTGGCAAAGTGATTTTTTTTATGTTCCTAGTAACACAAAATCATTAGAAGCATGAATGCCTTTACAGAAATGCTGATAAGAACTTGTTAACTTTTGAAATGACAGGTAGTAGAACCGCAGTGTAAATACTACAGATATGGTCTCTACAGACATTAAAAAAACCCATATAGCCTTCTGGCCTTGCAGGTTCATACATTAGTGCTATCTGCTGATTGTACATAATTGAGAAAGATACGGCTCCCTTTTTTCTCTCCAGGCTGAAGGGATGTCTGAAATAATCTCTTCGCTGTTCCAACACTGCTCTCATATTAACAGGGAAGTTTTGTGAGCAGATTGGTAGAAGCGGAAGACAAAAAGAACTTGCATATAAAAACTGAAGGTGAAACTGAAGTAACAGGCAACATAATGCTCTCTTTTTGGAGAAAAAGCTTGGCATCACCATCTGCCTGCCTGGAGTTAAGACAGCTGCAATGGAATTGCTAGAGAACTGAGACTGCCTTAGTTAGTTAGCATTGCCTGGTTTGATTAACAGGCAATCAGTGCCTCTTCTGATCAATTCTTCATCAGTGAAGAATGAGGATCTTCATTCCTCATGATAATGCAGCGTTCAAATGAGAATAAAAGACTTAAGACTCTAGGAAAGCAGTATAACTTGACTGAGCTAGAACAGTCTGGAGAACACCAGCGTGCGCTCTAAGTGGTACAGGTTGCTACCCTTGCAATTTCTACTTCCCCATCTTTGAGCAAGAGAAAACAGCTTGAAATGTCAAGCGACAGCAAAGGGATAGGCACCAAGAACTGATTTTAAAATAGACTTTAAAATGCTGTAACTCTCCTACCCAAATATAGATACTTTGTTTAAAAAAAAAAAATAATAATAATAATCTCAGCTTAACTGCCTAATCATAATTCAGGTACTACTCTAGGACTGAACAGAGGGCTCAATGCCTTCTTCAGAAAGAGGACACTGACATCTCCTAGGATCAGACTCAATGAGACTGCAGGAAGGTACAGGAGAGAAAACTCTCCACTCTAAATTGCACATACCTGTTGCTGGACAATACATCCCCATTCTCACCACCTCATACTTACGATCACTATCTCTACACACTCACTCATCACCACGTATCAACGCATTAGCCACTTTCATGAAAATGCAGTATTGAAAAAATGTGTGTGCATATACATATCCTGTCACTCAGTGTCATGAAAATAAACAAGAGAAAATATTCCACATGCCTTTCCAGCTTTCCCTATACTCCTCATCAAAATGTTAATTTAAAAAAATTAGCGATTCTCTTTTGTAACCCAGTCATACATTTATTCATCTAGCCTAAAGAGCATATTAACTTTTCTTTTTATCCACTTTACGAAAACTGTTAAGATGCAGCTTGTATGAAGTTCACAACATTGAACAGTATACTCACCTGTCTACAACTGTTGCATCTCCATGCAGAGAGCTATGCCAGTGAACTGGGAGGAATTCCACCCTGCTTACTTTACGTTCCTCTAAAGATTTCTTAAAGTGAGTCTGCAACAACTTCAGAGAAACAGTCCTAAAATCATCAACTGTAAAGAAGAGGAGTAATGAAAATCTGATAGTAGCAGTACTCAAGTAACACACAATTACAAATATTCTTTTCTTTTTTCCCCACTCTCCAATTTCAGACATAGTCAAAATACAAATGAAGGAAACTGCGAAGTGCAAAAATCTTTGCAAGTATTACTCCTCTAACCATAAGAAAAAATATTTTTTTTAAAAGTGGATTTTCTAGCAAGCTTCTATTTATCTCACAATGAATGCATTTTTACTCCATGACCAGACATGGCCTTCTTAATTCACTCAGTTGTGCTGGAGTGTATTTTTTTTTTAAAAAAAAAAAGCAAACAAAAAAAACCACCCCACACAAACACCACCACACACACAAACCACACAAAGCAAACACATATACTCACACCCCAAAAAAAACCCACGCCCCACACACCCCAAAAGCCAAACCACTCTGCAAGTCTAATATTGAGGACTAATAATAACAGTTAAAGCTGTAAGTCTGACAAAACACAGGTTCTGCTTTTGGAACATTATCAGGAAAAAGTCCTACCAGAAATTGAGCTTCTTAACATTAGAGACTTTTTTTTTTTTAAAGACATACTTACCTGAATATGAGATACAGAGACCCACATTTAAACAGTTAATACAACTGCTCATTAAACAAGCAAAAACTTACCACATTCAACAATGCTTCTAAATCTCAAGTCGCATACAGGACCTATGCCATGAACCATAAATACTAGATGGTCAATTTGGGACATTTCTCCTGTAGAAAAAGAAAATAAAAAATTCAGAGTACCAATATGTACTGCAGTGGTGAAGTTTTGAGTCAAGCAATGTTAAGATATACTTGCTTTATAAAGCCTATTACATAAGATGGTTCAGGATATAACACAGCCCACAGGACTCCTTTGATTAAAAAAACCCAAAACCAGATAACCTCTTTCAAGCAGCTTACACGAAGGACCAACTTTAATCTTTAGACTCCAGGCACTAACAGTGCATTGCCACTCCACCCACTATTGTCCAACTTTTGCCCAGAACCAAACTGAGCTGACTGCTCAAGCTGCAGACTCACGTACAGTAATCACATACCATCAGGAATTTCATCATGGTCATCATCAATTCCACGTTTTACCACCCTCGGTCTTGCCTGACCATCTTGAGTGGTGCCCCAATCATCTGGTGCGGCAGAAGGTTGGAACTGAACTATGACCTGAAAAAAATACATTGTCCAATTATAAACACAAAAAACCTTATGATTCATATTGTTAGTCTGAAAGCATTGCATCGTTTAACACACTTTTTGTTTGATTGCTTTACCTTGCATCTGAGACAACTGTTTTCTTTATTTAGCACATATTAAAATTAAAAAAAAAAAAAAAAAAAAGCCTTAGAAAACCCTAGGGCTATTCCTTGTGGCAGCGACAGCTTCACTAAAATTAGATTCCGAAATAACACAGATAATTCTCATTAGCTTGAAAAGCAACCAGATGACTTAAACAAAAGTAACCACTAATTGAAGAAGCTGGCCTGCTCAGTGATTCTTAACAATTTTAGCTCCTCAAACAAGCATTATTCAAGCTCCTCTTTCCTAGACCCCAGTATCCACTCTTTCTTAGCAGATTACTGTTTATGTGAGGAAACTGAACATTACCCCTATTTACAATTACTCTATCATGAGGGGAAATGAAAAGAAAAAAAAAAAAGAGAAAAAGAAAAAGAAAAAAAAAAGAGAGCAGTGCTTTTCAGGGAAGGACAACAACATTCAAAGTAGCCCAGAAATCCTAGGAAGTGGGGAATTCAGTAGCATGGCATAAGACTTACCCTGACTCGGTATAGTCTGAACTCATATTTATGACACCAAGTGATTTAAGTGCTCCTTCTCTAGGTTTTTACTGGACAGAACTCCTTAACCAGCATTAGTAACTGCTTAAAGTAGGAGCAACTGTGATCCTTTCTGGCCCTTGGCTTATTTTATTTATTTATTAATTACTGCATCTGAGAAAGTGAACAGTTAACAGCATTGGGCAATAAGGCTGAAGTCCATGTTTTAATCACATGAGAGTGTTAGCAGAGTATTTAGAATAACTTTTAAAGCTTTATTTGCTATACTTTGTCATGGCCTAAAAATAGTTGCAGTGGAAGACTTCTCATGGCTTAGATACACAAACTAATTACCTTATAGTTAGATTAATGCTCTTCTCCATGTGAAAGGTCTTAGTTTAAATTACCTTCCATTTCATACAGACTGTCTGAGGCTAAACTAATCCAAATTGCCTCCCATTAGCTGCCAGTTATGCATAGTCGAAATACTTACCATGCAAACCCTTATTCTTCCTAGGTTTCAGAAAGCATTGTCTTTTAATCACGTGACAGCATGCCGAAGCAAGCAGGAATTCAGTGTTCTATAAACTTTATCATCTTTAACGCACACATATCCAAACCAATCAACAAATACGCTTCAAGCAAGGCTAAGACTGCATTCAATTTACACTTCCACCCATCTGCTCATTCACCCCTAATGAATTTTGTGAGAACAACCAATCACCAAAATCTATTACCTTGGGATTATGCATAACAATTGTCTCCCCATTTGGGAATTCAAGTCGCCGATGCCATTGATTTGTAGTTACAGCCCTTTTATATTCTGCCTGAAACAGTAAACAAGTTACACAAAATCAGTATGCCAAACTATTTTTTGGCCTCGTGCAGCATCTGTAATATTAAGGTTATAATTTACGTAACTTTATTTATACAAAAGTGTCACGTGAAGCACTACACAAGTTGATTTTAGGTCAGAGTGGTGCAGGACCTATGCATGAGCAACGTGGCCTTCTAGCCACTCCCCTTTCCAGGATTTGCTTACTTATATTCCAGAAAGTGCGTTCTGGAAATCATTTTAATGAAACACAAAGAAGTATTTCTAAGGTCATAAATACAAAGAACGTGAAATTTATGTAAAGGTAATACTAACCTCTAGCTTATCACTAAAATCCTCAGTGTAAGGAATAAACCGGCTATCCTTGTCTCCCTTATAAAACCACATGCACCGTCTCACTTCAGAAGGCTCTTCTTCCCAGTAAACAGCTTTTCTCATTCTGTCATAGAGGTATACATCATAGCGTCCCCCATCAGTGCTCAGAACCACACTCTCAGGATCAGGCTGGACTATGACACAAAAGTCACACTCGGTTACAATATTAACACATACAATCTCTTTTCTCTCTCACCCCATCACCAATCACTCCTGTGATGAATATTAAGCTATTAAGACAGATATTTATATCATGGTTATACAAACCTTGTATAACCATGTATAGTTTCCGCTTTGTAATATCAGACAACCATTGCGTAGCTCCTAAAACACTTCTATATGCTCTGTACACAACCAAAAGAGCTTTGAACAACTCCCAAATATGAATACCTATTCCAGAGCTGACAGAGTTTAACAAAAAGGCAAACCAAGACACAGGTAACTAGGAGTTCTATGTGAAAATGCGATATCCACTAGGGATGTACATTTTAACACTGACAGCATCAAGCAACAGATAACGTAAGCGAATAAATTGTGGCACAAAATACATTTTCGAGATATGTATTAATATTACTTATTACTGCCATATCACTCTTCCATACGCGAGTGGCATTACTCTAGTATCTTCCTTCTGTTCATCTCTGAATAAGATACAATTAAGATTTTCATAACTGACCAGAATTATAGATTTCCTCTAGTTTTGCAGAATCCAGAATGCTGAATGGCATCCATATTTGCTTGTCCTCCACCTCCTTACAGTAGAACCAGTGAGGCTGAACCGGCTCATATTGGTTCTGCAGCAAAACAGGAGGTGCCTGGACCAGTGGACCTGCAGGCCTGGGAGCTCGGAGCTGTGACTGAGACTGTGGAAACTGAAAATACATACAGGTTCATCACCTCAATCTCACATAGTTTTTACAGAACTGATCTATACTTTGCTATAGAGAACACTCTGAGCCTTTATTTCTACCATTTTTCCCCCCAAGAACATTATCTTTCATTCTAAAAATGTTATAGACAAGCTGTCCACTTTGTCATGTTTTTGAAAACTTACACCTCTTTAAATTAAGAAAGGATGTGAATTTCGTTCCCACAAATACTGTTAAAAACTGTTATGGTCTATCATCTTGACTACCTAAAACCAGTAAGATTTAAAATATTCTCTTAAATTTTCAAAACTCAGGCTGAGCTTACTTCTTATGGCCACCAAATTTGACATGTAAACAAAAACGTATTCTTCTCATTATTCATTTATACATAATTACATTTTTGCATAAAGATTGTCAATTTTAACAAGTGCCCCCCTCAGCAGATTTCAAACTCTAATGTAGCCTCAGTGACGCAAGAAAAAAAACTATTTTGAAAGGGACTAGAGCCTACATAAAGCTGATCTCATACAAAATAAATTTGTACAAAGATCCCAGTTAGTACAACTAAAAGCAAGTGATGTCAGCAGTAACAACTGCTTTGGTCGATACAAATAAAAAAAAAAAAAACAATGACGAATATACTGTACAAATATAAAATCAAGCAATCAGAAGTTCTGAAATTCTTTAATCTAAAACCCCAGATTGTTCAGGTTCTACTGTCTTTGCTATGTTTTTTGTCATTATATAATCTTTCTATTCTTTATTCACAATAGCAGCAATATAGCAATAGCTCAGGCAAAATAAAAACAATTTTTGTTGTTTTCAAGGAAAACTTGTCAGGTTATTACTAATCCATTTACATTATTTTAGTAATGTCTTTGTGATGGTAAAAAAGAATGGAGATTAACGCTTTACATCACACAAAATCCTCAACCTGGCTTCACCAGCAAAACCAGCTTGAAAAGAGATTTTTAGCCTGTATCTTGCAAATGGCTGAATGACCTCATTTACAGCAGAGGCACAAACAATGCAGCAGCACAGCTGAAATGGCAGCAAACTCAGTAACAGACAGAAAAGAGCAAGAGAACTTCACAACCTGGCTTTGTTTCTGACACCAGAGGCTCATGCAGATACAGCCTCAGGGTACACTCACTTCAAAGATCAGGAAGTTTTCCTAAAGCAACAGTTCCAGGCTAGTTCAAGTGCAAAGATTTTGCTATCAGAAACGCTTCAAGATTTTTTCGGGAGTTTTTTGGGGGAAAAGAAAAACCTTCAGAAGGTAAAATATGCAATTCAAAGAGGAAAGTGACTTAAATGGTTTTGTTCTGGTACCAGGACATCAGGAATTATTCATATACCTGTGTCAATGATCCTGGAGGTGTCTGATACATCTGGACAGGTGGTACAGAGGATGGTGGGTGAGGAGGTGCATGACTCTGTTGCAGCTGTGGCGGAGTAAGGTATGGGTTAGCTCTGCTGCTCAGGGTGGTGTGCCGATAAGGGTTATACCCCTGCTGAGATGTTCCTTGGGGAAGAGTAGACGCATTTGCAGGCGGGGGACAGCTCTGCTGAGGAGTCTGGTAAGCTGTGATTCCCACCTGTGAAGTAGGTGGTGCACTGTAAGAGGACTGTGACTTGGGAATATGCGGTGAAAAGGCATTTTGCCCATCCTGCGACCCAGACACAAGTGGAAGTGAAGTTGGAGGCCTGGAGAAGCCTGGTGCTCCAACAGGTGGTGCAACAGTTGTTAAGGGTGGCTGCCCAATACTTCCAAATGGATCACTGCTACTAGGGACTTGAGAGAAATAGTTGAAAGTCTGTGGTGGGTTGGGGCTTGCAGAAGTCTGACCCAAGAAGCTGTCCTCTTCACCAACATCTGCAGAATCATCTGCAAAAACAAAAAGATCACTAGAGATATTGTGAGAGGTTCAAACCAGTTAGTGTATGTAGTCAAAATGTTCTGTAACATTATCAGCTATTTCCAAAACTCTGTTGGCCCCCATAAAGCTAAAAGTATTACAAAGCTTACACATCCTTGATGATTAAACACACCATAAAATGAAACAAAAGATACAAAGTCTTCAAGAACATTTAAAATGGACCATAAAAGTCACTCAGTGTACACAGATAAAGCAACAAAAATTAAAAATCTGAAACGAGACCAAAATATGACTGAAGTCAGGGCCTTCCCAAGCCAACTTGGCAAAGAACCCTGCTTCCAAGGCACTAAAATCCCTTCCAATTTCCCTTATGCCTACCAAATGCAAGAGCAACCTTCGTTAATTTCCTTTCACCATGAAAACTGTTACCAAGCATGGGACTTTATGCTCTAGTTTTTAGAATTCCAAGATCAAATTCAAAAGTAGAGCTTAAGGACATTCCCAAAGAGACCAAACCTATTGGTTAAGCAATCCATTCTCGCCTGCTCCTTCAGCAGTGCCCTCGCAAGGTTTCCCATTTGACTTGCAAGGTGGCCACAACTCATCACTCCAAGTCACTCGATGAGCAAGACTTACTCTGGTTGTCTCTACAAATCCTACTCTGGCACAAGAGCTAAATCTCTGGTGCTAGAAAAATAAGTCCTCATTCTGCATAATTGCAGGAGAGGGCTTTAAAAGGTGCAAGGCCATGACTGCCCTTTTGCATGGAGAAAATACATAAACCAGGTCCTGGTCAATCACAGTTTTCTGCTTTGCAGTGATCTAGGAACAAGTGGGGAGAAAAGTGGTTTGACATTATCATAGGTCTTGCAGTAAACTCAGTTAAACCTGGGATGGTCTGAGCATCACTGCCTGCTGAGGGAAGAGCACCTTGCAAGCAGCCAATGCAATCTGCAGAAGTCATAAGAGTGTTGTCATCTGCTCTGGCCATCAAATAATCCCCAGGCTGTGGGGAAGAAACCACAGAGCTATCATTGCTTCTCTGCTATGCAGTCCCCAGCCAAAGAGAGAGACCAAACATCTCTGCAGCTACAAGCAGCCAATAACAAATGTCTTTATCTGTAGCCAATATAACTGTAATATAGAGTATCAAGGGAGCACAGGGGAATCCACAGTGAAGTCTCCCTAGGAAGCTGCTGTTCTAATTAATTAATCATAAAAGAAGCAGCTGCCATGACTAAAAAGGACTATTTTAACCATCTTTTATTTAGCAGTCTTTTCAGACAGTGTCAGTTTGAGGCAAGCATCACCTGCGTTTATCAATTTCTGTTATTTTCACCTATAGCTTTTATTCCACTTTGATGAACAAAACCTATGTATGTGAACCATCATGTGAAGAATACTAAAACCATTTATAAGCAATGACCACTATGAAGTCAGGCCTATGGATTATCTCCCAACTACAAGCAGAACAGCCATTTATACTAAATAAAAGGTCTCAACTTCTAAACAATAAAATTCCTCTTCCTTTCACATTTCATAAATATTGTGGAATAGAGAGAAGCATACTGCATACCACACTGTCAGTTCCCTGCTTTCCAAAATAACCGGTAGCAGAGCAGGCAATTCATCTCACCATGTCAGATCACGATAAACATGTAGCAATGTGCTGAAGAGTTTTCAAGGCCTTTACCAAATGCCTGTTCACAAAACACTGTTCTCCAATTTCAACTAGGGTTCAGAGATTTAGTCTAACTGTATCTTTCCTTGCAAAATGAGGTTGACAAAAGTTCTGCCAAAACAAAAATTATACATAGAATCATAAAGGTTGGAAAAGACCTCTAAGATCATCATATATATATATACACACACACACAAAGTTTTCCAACACAGTGCATTACTTTCTACTTGGCCTTTTTCTAATTTTGCAAAAACTATGTTGGAACATAAGCCCAGACTGGCAGAAAAAGAAGCACTTCATACAAATTTAAAAATTTCCTATGAGTGCACAGTTTTGACATACAAGGGCAGTATTCTTCCCATATACAAAACAGTCTTTCTTCAACAGTGACTGTGTGACAACCTCCTGTATATCCCTCCCTGTATAAGGTGGTACCTTGTCATTCACAGATTGTCACCTGACAAGCACAAGTAACATTAGTCCACTTCCTCATTGGGAACACTCCTCTCTGTCTACAGTAAGTTTATTGGTTCCTTCACCCACACCTGAGCCAGAGAATGTATCTTCTATCATCAGCCTGCAAAGCACAAAACACTTATTACTCACTCTTGGAGATACAACAAACTTATGACTGCACAGAGCTTCCTAACGTTGGCTATCAGATGTCAAGCAATTCCTGAGATCAATTCTTTTTTACATTTTACACAATTTAAACTTCAAACTCAAGAGCTTGTTCCTTTCTGCTTCAAACTATGATTCAAGATACAAACTGCTCTACACAGCCAGATCCCTATGACACCTGGCTGGACAAATGGTGAGTGCAATGGACCACAGAAGTAGAACATTTAATTGGGGGCTAGGGGGGCCTTACTTGGACAGACATGGAATGTGGCACAACCTCTGGCACTGAAATTCACTCCAGCTGCAAAACTATGAATCTTCATCCGATTAAATTTTAAGTGACATGGAGAGTATATGATTCATCACATCAATGAAATCACATCAGATTTTCTCCCTGGCTAGCTTCAAAGTCTTCAGGCAATTGCCACATGATAGTCATCTGTGCAAAGCTACTGGCCAGACTAGCACTTAAAAATTACTTTTTTTAAAAAATGAAAAACAATGTATATTTGCAAGAAGTAAACACTATAAGGATTGCACAATGGAAGTAGTAAATATATCAGCTACCTAGATACCTCAGGTAAGTAGGAATAATATTCTAATGCTTTTATCCCTCCCACCCAAAAAAATGTAGTCGATCTAAAAAAATGTTTCAAAGCCATACTTGGCAAACATTTTATTAAATCTACAGAGATGTGCTCCACTGATTTCCAGCTATATTAATACTTATTTTAGCTAAGATACATCAGCATTGAAATCAAGTCTTGGATTTTGGAGTCAACATGTACCAATGCAGTAAAATTTAAAATATCTGATTTCTAGATGCATTTCTACTGTTTAGGGCTTTAATCTCAGACTGAACACATTTCCAGAAAAATCCATTCCTTTATCTGAAACTGTTTGAACATCAGATTTTAAGTTGCACGTGCATGTGTTTGGAACACTGTTGAGGCTTTAGAAGGAAAGGATATTAAAACCACGGTTAAATTAACAAGGAAATTCAAGGTGTCTGCTTAACATGCTATTTTCACTCGGGGAAAATAGAAGATAACATGGAAGAGGAGCTTAAAAAAAGTGAAAACACGAAGTACACCCCTGAACGGAAGTACTGACAACTTCTAATTGCCGAAACAAATCCGCTAATCAATGAACTGAAAACGATAATCATCCCCTCTCCCTAGACACGGAACTAAACACCAAGTATTAAGCACACGCAAGGAAGCGGAACATATACATCTCAAGCAGCTTGTCTTTCCTGAAGCTTTAACGCCCGACAGCTGGCAGCGACAACCAGATCAGAGAGCTCTACGGAGAGATTAGGGTCTAACCGACACGCAGCGGGCCCAGAGGCCGACCAGGCCCGCAGCACCCCTTGGCAGGCCCCGGCTCCCCCGGCCCTGCCCCGCCGGGCTCCCGCGCAAGCCCTCCGCGCCCTCCCGCTTCCCTCACAGCGGCCCCTCAGCAGCCCCCGGCCGCCCTCCATACCGCCAGGAGAGCGGGGCCCGGCGGTATAGCCGGAGCCTGGCTGACCGGGATGAAGGGCACGGTGAAGTTGAACTCGGTAGCGGAGGAAGAGAAGAGCAGGTTGGTGCCGCCACCGGTACCCCCAGGCTTCCCCGCCGCCATGGCTGCACTCCGGCCACGTCCCTTCCCCCGCGGCAGCCCGGCCCTTTCCGCCCTCACCGCTTTGCCCGCTTCAACGATGGCGGCGGC